TGTATTCTTAGAGAATGCAGCCTGTCATCCTCTTCCTATATTAAAGTACTTAAAGAGTGAATTGTTTTAAAATCCCTCTTCTCTGTAAAATGAATTCTAACCATTTAAGTAATTCATAATTTGAAATAGTATTATTCAGTTTAATTCTTCCCAGTTATTCTAATTTTTAAGGACATGGGTTGCCACATTTCTCTCTTAAATCAATTACTGTGTCTTTTAATACACTTTCACTTTTGATGAAGAATTGGACATCCATATAACTACTGAAATTTAAAAAAAATAGTCTATAGCAGTGCTTCTGAAATTTTCATTTCCATATAACTTCATAGGAATTTTGTTGAAGTGCAAATTCTGACTCAGTAGCTCTAGGTATAGAACCTGAGAATCTTACTCTCAGAGGGTGCTGTTACTAGTTATAGACTATACTTGAAAGTGGCATAGGACTTAAAATACGGTAGTATAGTAGGCTAGCACTAAATTTTAGAGGAGGAGGAACTTTACAAAATTAATCATCTAAAAAAGTATCTTTACTCTTTAAAGATGACAATATTAAAACTAAGAAAATTTAACCATCTTGATAAGGTCATCATAGTTAGTAGTAGAGCCATGGAAATGCCATCTTATCCTAATTACAGTATCTGTATACTGTGCTACACCAGTACTTCTCAAACTTCAGTTTTTTTATATATACCATGGGGACTATTCAGATAAATCTATGTATAGAACCAAAAGTCCCTAGGAATGCCATGTTACAATTGTTCCTTTTTTAAGTAATCAAGGATATTATTAAATTATGGTAAGGTTTGTCAAACAAGGTCTCAGTGATATCTGTACATCTACACTAAGGAACAATGAATAACATATACAAATCATCCACCAGAATTTCAGAAATTCTTTTCCCTGCTGTTTTCACAAATCTTTTCCTAAGATGTTCTGGAGAGAGAGAGAGACTTGTCTGTTTCATTACTAAATAAAGCCAAATAAAGAAATAAAGGGATTTTGCATGGAGAGAGATCTAATAGGATTTCACTTTGGAGAGAATTATGACTATATTTCACCATAGGACCCACAATGCGGATCCTAGGAAATGTTATGTATAATTCCTCTGTACTCTCTGTCCCTAATTACTGAAGGAGTAATACCATATATGAAACCAAGGCCCTTTGGACAGATGAAGAGTCTTGTTTTCAGAGGGCTGAAAGTAAAGTATGTAAATATTAAGATATTCCATTTGAATCAAAATAAAAGAAGAATGAGTCTCTCTGACTCATCTGTCCTATAATTTATATTTTATTGTGATTGAAATAATTTAACACAGTCTGAACAAGAGAAGGAAGACATCACTAATTTTGGCAGACCTTAAAATAGTATACCAACTCTCTAATGTTAGCCATTTTTAATCATCTCCCTTTTTAAACAAAAATAGATAAATAATACCATTATATCATTACAGAACATGGGAAAAATTATAATTTGCCATAAGTAAAAGATAACAGTAAATACACATGTTGTTAAATCTGCTAGAGGATATTGCCCATAGAATGTTTTGAATATGAGCCCCTCTATTATAAAGGGAGAATGATAAGTCTTCAAGAACCGTTAAGGGCATATGTTTATGGATGTAATGAAAAAGACTGAAAGAGAATTTAAAAGGGGAAAGCTTTCTATGTGATTTGATGCTATTTAATGCTCTGTCCATGTATTCCCTAACATCACTCTCAATATCTGAATGTCACATACTTTGAGAAATAGTATACCATACCATGTTGTTCCTTAATCAATATTCCCCTATCCATAGGCACTTAAAGATATGTTTAAGGGGGGATAGTTGGTGGCGTGGTGGATAAGGCACCTGACTCCTACATGGCCAACTGTGGTTCGAGTCTCAGACCTGGCGACTTTATAACCTTCTCTCTCTATCTCTCTCTCTCTGTCTGTCTCTCTCTCTGGTAAATTTAAATAATAATAATAATAAATAAAATTAAATAAATAAATAATTTTTAAAAGGTATGTTTAAGTGAACTGAAAATATAAGTTATTAAACCAGGCAATTTATTCTGAATTATAGACTTGTTAGAGTTGAACAAAAACCATGAGATTACCTACTACTTAAACTCACTCATTTAAGGATGTAAAAATGAAGGACCCAAAACAATAGATGAGTAGCCTAATATAAAGTTTTGTTTTCAATGATGCTGAGATTTTTAAATTGCCAATCTGATAGCTCTCTGAAGCTTGTTGTCAAATGAATGGCTTAAGGCAAATGAATCTTGTTGGCATTTTGGCATTTTACTTAAGATCAGTCAGAAAGACAGTGGTTTGGTAATGAGATAGAATGGAAGGGTTATATACATTTAGAAAGAATAAATCTGCCCCCAAATACTTCAGAAGAGGTAGAAAGAGAAAAGTTAGGCTGGTAAAGATACTTGGCTAGAGTTCCACCCGTATTTTTTAGATTCTCCAAGGTTAAAGGATAGAGAGGCAGTAAAGTGGCTATATTTGGAACCTGCCTTAAGTGAGAATCTTTTAAACTTCTTTTACCATTACAGAATTATTTCATATGTTACTAATTATGCCTGATATCAAATGTTTGTTGACTTCACTGTTTTTTTTTTTTCTAAAGTTCCACTCTTCTGTATGAGTTTAGTGGAAGTATATTCAGTCCTCTGTATCTGCAGATTCCTTATCTGTAGTTTCAACCAACCATGGACTCCTTATCTGTAGTTTCAACCAACCATGGACCAAAAAACTTTGTGTTATTACTGATGTGTACTATTTAATAAAACCTACCACACTTTTTCTTTTTCTTTTAGAAGTTTCTGCTATAGGGTGAGTGTGCGCGCCAGAAAGACAGAGAGACAGAAAGTGAGAAATCACCTCCCAGGGGGGATAGCCATGCCACAATCCCTTCTCCTCTGTTCTCCTCTCGGGATCTTGGGCATGCACGCACACATGCCCAGCATGAGTTTAAGCCACTGGGTCTGGGACTCGAACTGCAGTCAACTACATGGGAGTCCAGCGACATAGTCATCACACCATCTGCTGGTCCTCTTACCTTGCTTTAATAGTAAAATTTAAGGCCTTTTCTAGCCTATACAAAAATATGAAAACTTGACAAATAATGTAGAGTCAGCTTCCTCAGCAGGTGAGTTTAGAAGATGAATTGGCAACATGATTATGTATGAAAATTAAGAGTTGTTTGGTTTGCAAATGATATAATCTGCTATGATTTAGATAATAATTTGTCCCCCCAAGTGTTCATATGTTGTCATTTGGTCCCTGATACAATGGTTTTGGAGGGTAGTGAGACCTTCCTAAAGGGAAGGAACCATCGGATTGTCTAGAAGCATGGCTAGACAGAGCAAGCAGAAAAGTCTGTTTCCTCTCCCCTACCCCCCCTTCCTTTTTCTTTCTCTCCACCTATGCTGGCCTCCCTTCCAGCTTTTGTCAGCCATGTTATGATGCTGATCCCACACTTTTGGTCTTTCTAGCCACCAGAATCATGAGCCAAAAACCTCTATTTTTTATAAATCATCCAGTTTCAGATATTTTTGTTTAGTAACACAATAATAAAACAGGACATTGGTTCAGTGTGCAGAGTGTGTTACTATACAGGTACCTGAAAATATGTATGTGGCTTTGGGATTGGGTAAAAAGCAGATGTTATAAGAGTTTGGAGAAATAGGCCATGAAAATTCTAGATTCTGGTGAAGGTTTGTAAGAGAAATCGTTTATAAATGAACTGAAACATTTCAAAAAGTTGGTTAAAAAGGTGTGACCACAATGCTGATAAGGATATGGACAGTAAAGGTTATTATGAGAAGGTGTCAGATAGAAATGAGGAAATTATTGGGTATTGGAGAAACGCCAGTATTATAAAGTGGCAAAGAATGTGAATTATTTGTGTTCATGTCCTAAGATGTTATAGAAGGCCAAATTTAATACTTATAATCTAGCAGAAGAAGTTTCTAAATAGCAAGTGCTCAGGTTATTGGTTGTCTAACTGAATTTAGTGAAATTTGGGTGAAAGGGGAGCAGACAGGAAAATTTGAAAAATTCACAACTTGACCATGTAAAGAATAAAAATAAAAAGCATATTTGGCAGAGAACACTGAGTGTTGCCAGGCTACCAGTATTAAAGTGATTAGAAAGCCAGATGATAATATTGACAATGGGAAAAAGACCTCATGTATATCTCAGAGATCTTCAGGGCTACCTCTCCCATCACAAGCCTAGAGGCCTAAGAGCAGAGTGGTTTTCAGCAAAGGGCCAACTATTGGTACACTGCTCTGTGCAGCTCCCTGCATCCCAGTGTAGCACTTGGTTGCTTTAGCCATGATTCAAGGCTCAAGGCACTGTTCAGTGGAGTACAGGCTATAGGTCAAGACAGTGGCAACAGCAGCATCCAAGGCAACTTGGGGCTACATGTGGTGATAATTCTTCAGGAGTGTAGAAGGCAAGAGTATGGCAGCATGGCAGTCTGTATCTAGATTTCAAAGGATGTATTTAAAAGCCTGGGAGTGTAAGTAGATACTTGCCCCAGGGACAGAGCCACTGAAAGCCTTCACCAGGGCAGTACCAAATGGAAGTGTGAGGTAAGAGAGGAGAGAACCCACCACAAGGGCTATGCCTAGTGGAGCCACAGGGACAGGACTACCCTTAAGATCTCAGAATTGTAGAGCTGCTGGGAACATGTGGTGACCACCTGGGAAAGCTATAGGCCCTAGACTCCCAAGTACAAGTAGCTATGTTGTCTGCGACCAGCAAAGCCACAGGGTCAGACCTGCCCAGGGTATTGGGGCCCATCTTCCACTTGGGGATATAAGGCACAGTGTCAAAAAAGATTGTTCTTAATCTTTAAGATCTAATGTCTGCCTTTGGGGTTTCAAACTTGCTTGGGACCTGTTATTCCTTTCTTTTTGTGGAATGGAAATTTCTACTCTTACGCCAGCCCTACTATTACATCTGGGAAGTTGCTAAAGTGTTTTCTTGATTTAGCCAGCTTTGTGCAGTGGCAGTATCGTAGCCAATGAGGTTTATCCGAGGCGCGATTATTGCTAATTGATTTATAGGCTTATAGCTGAGAGTTTACCTAAATTTCTGATAAGATTTAGGATTTGGAATTTTGGGTTGGTGCTTGCAGAAACTAATACTTTCAGGACTATTGAGATTTATGTGGGAAAAAAAAGAACTTTGGGGGTTAGAGGTAGAATGAAAGGTTCATACATTACAATTTAGTCCCTAGTATAATGACTGGGAGGTGGCTTAGAGATGGGGCATAATGGGAAATTCTATCCATTTGGCTGAGTGCATGGAAGGAACAAACAGAAGTAGAGAGTGTTTTCTATTCATTCCCACCCTCTCCCAATGTATGTGCATGCCTTCCTCTCTGCTTCTATCAGCCATGTTGTAATGCCGACCCCACACCTTTGTAATTTCTAGCACTAGAATTGTGAGCCAGATAAGCCTCTCTCCTTTTTTTTTTTTTAAGAATTACTTAATTTATTATTATTATAATTTTAAATTTACTATAGGGTATGTGTGCTCACTAGAGAAAGACACACACACACACACACACACACACACACACACACAGAGAGAGAGAGAGAGAGAGAGAGAGAGAGAAAGCCACCAGATGTGGGACTGAATCTGTGTTCAGCCATGTGGTAGTACAGTGCCTTAACCATCGTGCCACCTGCTGGCCCCAAACCTCTGTTCTTTACAAATCATTAAGTCTTAAGTATTTCTGTTTAGTGATACAATAATGGAATAATTTATTACCCAAAATTTAAAGAGGAAAGGTCGTAGAATTAAGGTTATTATAAAATATCAAGTTGTCTCAGAAACCATCAAACAGCAAGAATGAAAACAAAAAAGCAATCAGCTAGACAGATTCAGGACCAGATCAGAAACATAGGAAACTAGAACTTAGAAATCAGACCATTGAGACTGTCTTTTTCTGTAGTTTCTTTGTGTGTGTGTGTGTGTGTGTGTGTGTGTGTGTTTCCTTTGTGACTGAACCTAATTCTATCTGACTAAAGTGTTTATTTGTCTATATATGGTATGGGGGTGGGAGGGTGGGTATTATTTTTATCAGCATTGAACTCCTAGCCATTGCAGTATTTATTACTAATAGTGAGTGGAATAGGGTATTATGGTTGGCTTTACATGGGTTAAATCTTCAACCCTATAACCGAGGATAGAATATTGTGTTTGGTAGCCTCATCAAAAGCCCAATGGGAAGAGAAATGTTAGCAAACGGCAGAAGAGGATGTTACAGCACTTATCTTCTTGCAGAAACATCAGTTTGAACAACTATCTGCACACAAAAATGCCTTCACAAGAGCTAAGGAAATCAGATAATATAATCCCTTTATGTAGGACATAAATAAAAGAGACATTGAAGAAGGTAGGAAGGACATTTTAACATTTCCTATGACACCTCTCTAACAACTCTAGCAGCACAAATGCAGAAAGTAATACCCTTCATGTGGGGGAAGGAGAAGGAAAAGAGCACTGGATTTTGCCTTGGATCCCCAATACCAGGCCTGCCCTAGTATAAAGCAATCTCAGGAAGACTCTCAAGAGTTCCAGACTTCAGACCAGTAAACTAGTCCCACACCAGTGCCAGGCCTGCACCAAGATCCCACGTTGATCCTACCCAAGTGCTGACCGAGGAACCAGGACAGTATGCCTGAGGACTGTCAGTAAACCTGCCTCCACACCATGAAGATAAACTGCCTAGAATCTCTGGACAGGATGACTAGTAAAGGGCTTTCCCAATTGAAGCAACTCTGTAAACTTCAAATGCATGTATGCCAATGTATAGCTATAAGGATTGGCAAATAATCAGAAAAAAATGAGGCCACCACCGGAAAAAAAAGAAAGGGGGAAAAACCCCCACAGTACTAGTAACTGACCACATAGAAATTCAGATTTATGAACTTCCTAACAAAGAATTAAAAAGTAATTTACTTGAAGCTCAGTGAACTATGAGAAAACAGTCACCTAAGAAAACTTATGAATAAAACAAGTGGGACCAGCAGATGGCGTAGTGATTATGTCACTGGACTCCCACATACATGGCTGACCGCTCTTTGAGTCTAGGATCTGATGGCTTCAAAATCACCTCAGACACATGTGTGTTCCTAAGATCCTGGTAGGAGAATGGAGGAGAAAGGCGTGCACGTGCCCCAGGGCAAAAACCTCTAAAAGATTAAAATAAAACAATAAGTTAACCAAAGATATAGAAAAACAAACCAAACAAAAACAAAAAAGAAAGAAATTCTGGATTGGTTCTAGCCCTGTGGCCTAGTGGTTGAGGGAGCTAGATCACACATAGCCAGCTGCTTGGTTTGCCATATTTGGCAGCTTGAAAATTACACTTAACGCACACGCGCGCGTGTGTGTGTGCACGTGCATGCGCCTCAAGTGTGTGTATGTGTGTGTGTGCACGTGCATGCGCCTCAAGTCCTGAAAGATAGACGAATGTAGGAGAAGGGACTACAGACCATGCACTATTGGAGGGGATGTCCTTTTTCTTTTTCTTTCCTTTTCTGTCTCTCTGGCTAGTGCACATGCACTGTGGCAATTAAAAAAAAAAAAATTCTGGAGCGGAAGAACACAATATTTGAATGTGTACAACATAAGGTAATGTTCAATGTAAAATGAGATGTGTATGTCTGTGTCCTATATCTGATTATTGCACCCTGTATGCATGCTTTGGAAAACTCTACTACACAAAGATGTATAATTATATGTAAACCAGAAATAACAATCTTTTAAAAACTAAAGAAAGAATAAAATCTACATTTTAAAGCAAACCCAAAAAATGAACTTAAAATTTCTTTAGAGAGTTTCAATGGAAGACTTTATCAAGCAGAAGAAAGAATTAGTGAGCCTAAAGACAGATCATGAGGAATTACCTAGTCAGAAGAATAAAAATAAAAAAAAGAATGAAAAAAAGAGTTCAACTTCAAGTGAAAATATACATATATATGTAATATAGTTTCTCTATATATATATATATATATATATATATATATAGTTTACAAGAGCTCCAGAATGAACTGAGAAAGAGAAAAGAACAATTAGTATATTTAAAGAAATAAGGCCAGAAAATTTCCAAAATTTGGGGGAAAATGTAAGTATGCAGGAACAGGAAACCTGAAGATTTCTAATCAGGTTTGATCCAGATAAGACCACAACAAGACATCATAGTCAAACTCTTAAAATCAGAGACAAAGAGAGGATTCCAAAAGCAGCAAGAGAAAAAAGAAGCTAGCACATAAAAGGGAATTCCAATAAAGCAATCAGCAGATTTCTCAATAGAACACTTACAGGTCAAGATAGAGTGTGATGGCATATTAAAAGTGAAAAAAAAAAAAACTGCCAGCCAAAAGTAACAAGGCAAGTCTCTTCTTCAGTAATCAAAGAGAAATAAAAACTTTCCCACACAAGTAAAAGGTGAGGTAGCTCAGCACTAGATCTGCCTTTTAAGAAATGCTAAATGTGAGGCCAGCAGGTGGTCGTGAAGGGTGCTGGACTTCCACATGGGCGATCAAGGTTCAAGTCCTGGACCTGGAGGCTTGCTTTCTCACTCCCCACTCCCCCTTACTCTCTCACTCTGTTCTTCCCTGGCCAAATTTAAATAAATAAAGTTAAATAAAAATAATTATTAAAAAAATTATTAAAATAAAAAAGAAATGCTAAAGGGAGTTCTTCAAGCTGAAAGAGAAAAGGATGCTAATTAGTACATGAAAACCTATGAAAGTGTAAAACTCACTGGTAGAAATACCTAAGCAAATTTAGAATAATACCATAGTAGTGATGTGCAAATCAATTATATATTTAGTATGAAGGTTAGAAATAAAAAATAAATAGGTACAAATAAATGGAAATATATCCTGTGCTCATGAATTAGAAAATTAATATTTTTAAGTCCATACTTCATGAAGTGATGTATGGATTTAATCCAATCTTATCAAAATTCCAACAGCATTTGACACAGAAATATAAAAATGAATCCTAAAATTTGTGTGGAACCTCAAAGACCCCAAATAGACAATGCAATCTTGAGTAAAAAACACAAAACTGGAGGTATCATACTACTTGATTTGAAATTTACAAAACTGTAGTAATCAAAACAGCATGGTTCCAGCACAAACCATCCCCCCAAAAAAGCCAAAAATAAACAATGGTGAAAGGGCAGTCTTCAGTAAATGATGCTGAGAATACTGGCTATTTTCATGCAAAAGAATTAAATTAGTCTTTCATGTCACACTATATAGGGTTACTTCAAAGGTTTGTAGAAGTTTCAACCTAGTGAGGAAATCAGTAGCAAATTGAACTGTAGTGTAGGAAGTCACATGGCAGACCACAGGTTCAGATTTCTGGGTTGACCTGAAAACACACTGTGTGTGTATGTGCACCCATGCCTAAGATCCTGCAGAGCTGAAAGGCTGGACAAGGGGTATTGTAGTGTGACAAGGTCCTGTCATTTCTCTCTCTCATACTCTGTCATGAATAAAAATTTTTTAAATAATTTAGAAAGGTTTTAAAAATTGTGGATACATCATTTTAATATGTTTATTTTTATGCCAAAAAAAAAAAATGAAAGAAAAGAAATTGAAGTTGATGGGACCAGCAGGTGGCATGTTGATTAAGGTGTTGGACTCCCACATGGCTGATCACAGTTCGAATCCAGGACCCAGCAGCTTGAAAATCATGCCGGGTGCATGTGGGTGCATGTGGGTGCATGCCAGAAATCCCAAGAAGAGAATGGAAAAGAGATTGTGGCATGGCTATCTCCTTGTAGAGTGATTTCTCACTTTCCCTTTCTCCATCCCTCTCTCTGTCCCTCTCCAGCAACTACACACTCTGTGGCAAAAAAATTGAAATTGATATATAGTTTTTTGATACTACACATTTTTACAAACTTTTTGAAGACCTGTACAAAAATCAAGTCAAATTGGATTAAAGATTTAAACATTAGGTTGAGACTATAAAACTATTAGACCAAGATACAGGACAGAACCTTTTTGACAATGACTTTTTGGATATGCTTTCAAAAGCATAGGTAAGAAAAAAATAGAAAAATAGGATCATATCAAACTAGAACCTGAGTTTATTTGATGCAAGAAA